GAACCTAAAAGGGACCAATGTGTCTATTATTGAGACCAAAGAGGGTTGGTTTGGCAGACAAGCTGCTAATTTAGTGTGAGTAATGCTGGAATTCGCATCTCACCATTTGATGCAACTTAGCTTTTTCTTTTCCCCTCCTATGAATTGAGTGGGGGAAAAAAAATCAAACCAATAAGATAGGACTACACACGAGGTGTTTGATGATATTACTCTTAAGACAAATTGATTTAATTTTTTCAGAACAAATTGACTAGGTCTTTGATGTTATTGAAGCTGATTTCAAGTCCTTAACATCAACCATGTTTGTCATCAATTCCAATTTTGTTAATAATCCTAGTGAGGCAAAATAGGCAAACTAGTTATTCCTCTTGATCTAGTTAAATTTCTCTTACTTCTTTGGGACTAGATTAGCATTCCTTAAAACTATATAGTTCTTCCATGCAAATGTTTTATTGTTTATTTACTTTCTTGATTCTTAATTTCATAAATTAGCTAAGTTTCGATTTTGTTCAATTTTGAAACCATGTTTTATTGTTCAATTTTGTTCTTAAGTTTCGATTTGCGGCCGTCGTAATGGAAGTGGTGAGTTGGTTGAAGTTGGGTATTGGGATCTTAGAGGTGAAAACAGATCTTCAGCATTTAAAATGAAGTTTATGAAACTTGGATTGAAGCCTGATTCATTTCAGACTGATAGGGACAATATTAGTTTAGTATGAGACCCTTTTTTCATTAATCCTAGTAACTGTTTTCTTTTTTTTTTGCATGAATTATATTTTTTGGGTTACTTATTCAGTGATATAGAATTAGTATCTCTGTTTACTTGTATTCTATCTAAATTCATTCTGACAAACAAGGTCATTTTGTGCTTGCACTAACAAAAAATGTCTCTAGGTTTATCCTGAAGGAACACATTTGATGATTCCCTTGTTTGAAAGGCCTATCGTTAATGATGTTCGTGCACGTCCCAATCTTGTTGAGAGCTCTTCAGGGAGTCATGATCTCCAAATGGTAAAGTTTGTTTTACAGATTTTCTTATATTTATCATGCACAAAATAAAATGAAAACAAAACTTGTTGGTTTATTATAGCGACTTTTTCCAGATATGGCATACTTGATCTCTTCATAATTTTTTCAAGTTTTGAACTCTTGATTGAAGCCTGGATAAAAAAGAATTACATGCCTAGAAATAAGGTTTCACTTTTATATGATAGTCAAGGAGGTTAATTTATGGAAGCATTATGATCTTTCTAAATCCCTTTTGTAGATTCGATTCTTGTTATTCGATCAGGGCCTTATTATTTGCATTAATATTTATTTAGCATTGCTATATGCTAGGAGGTCGATTGTGTTTTTTTTTTTTTGGGTGAATAAGTCATAAAATAAAAGACAAATATATACAAGATACAAGAGGCATGTCTGAGGAGCTAACCAACTATACAAAGACAGAGCCACCAACAAAACCAAAAACACAACAGGACAAAACAACTTGTTAAACACCACATGAGCACAGGGGCAGATAAGGAGCAGGAACAAGATCAATACTGAGCTACACATTAGGATAGACCTAGAAGCTACTGGACCACAAAACAATATCCAAAATATAACTCAAAAACAAGGTCTACTACCATAATTAAGGCCATGTACATTCCACATAGAAATCCAAAATTAGGTTCTGGGATTACAAAAATTAACCACTAGAGCCTATTATAACTATACTAATAAATAAAAATTCAGACTGTAAAACAACCACCACATCCTCTTAGACAGCAGGCAACATCAGATCATTAAGCACCAGCAAAATGGCAAGCAACAGCAGACAACAAGCCTCAGCAAGAAGGCAGCAACAACAGCAGTAGTAGTAGCCAGTAGCACAGAACCTAATTTTGGAGAAGCCACGAGTATGGAAGGTGTCACTATCATATTTTGGTGTTTCTCTTGAAGAATAGGTGACTAATTTAATGGGCCAGCCGCTTTGTTTCTTAATAATACTGATATCTACCACACCGACTCTGGTTAAATGATAAATTTGATTTTGTTTGGAAGCAAGTTAGTTGAAAAGACCACACATGTTTTGTTCTTGTATAGATAATCAAACTAACATGTAAATTTATATTTGCTCGGAATCTGTGATACTACTCTTTTGAGGAGACAACTTACTTTTATTTCTCTATATTCTCTTAGAGTGAGTGTTGAATTTTAGTAGAAAAACAATATCATTGCCATTTGTTTTTCTAGATTATCCTCTTGAGGTGTTGTTGGAAACTGTCACTCAACTCTTCTAGTTGATATGATTTTATTCTCTTCCTAGAAAACTTCTATTTTGCTGTTGATGGAACCAAAGTTTTCTGGATTCACCATCACAGCAGCACCTAGCTAAGTCAACTAATTTGTTAATGTTATTCTATTTTTTGTTTTGTTTTTGTTTTTGTTATTTTTTAATTTATATTAAGAGGCAAGTGCTGAATTGTGTGTGTTAGTGATGTAAATCAAAATCATAATATCGCAGTAAGCTACATTTGGTTATCCTTATTTCCTGTTTTGATTTTCTTTTCTTAATCTGCCTTGAGAATTTTCTTATCCTTATTTCTTGTTTTGTTTTTCTTTTCTTTGTTTAATTTTAATATCTAGGAAGCTTCAATGTGATACAAAACTTTTGAAACTTCCTTTCTTCAATTCAAGAAAAATATTATTCATGGTTGGATAATAAGGGGGGGAGGGGAGAGAGATCCTAGCCTCCAAATGATATGTAGAGTGAAATAGAAAAAGGGATAAGAAAGGGAGAGAAAGAGGAGAGGAAGCTAACTTTGTGACACCCTGAAAATGAGTAGAATATTTATTCTGAAATCTTTTAATCACGCCCTTCCCTTCCTCTTGCAAGTTGGTTATGGGATAATCTTTTGATGGCCTATCTCAGATGCACTGAAGGCACCACCAAAATCCAGATAGCTTCCTTTGTAGGTTAACAAATTCATTAAGGACGGAAATAAATAAGGAGATGCCTTTTCATTATAGAAGCTTTTTCAAGACCTACATCTGGTTGTTTCCTTTTGGTAAGGTTTATAGTCCTGCTGTTATCTGCTTCACCATTTACTGGTTATATCACTAGAATTGTCCTCCCAAGAAGATGTCTTTTTTCAATTTGTCGTGTGTTCCTATCTTGATATCTTTGCAATTACAGCATGAGATGGCAGTAGAGAGTGCATGGATTTTTGATATGGATTGTTATTATCAAACTCTGATTCTTGCTAGAAGGATTTTTGTGATTGGTGGGACACATATGCTCAAGAAGGTAAAGTTATTGCTCAAAGAAGTAGAGTTTATTTTGCAACATATACATTCATCTCTAAGTTTATTCAGAACTTACACTCAACTCTTCTGTTCATAATCAGTTTTGAACTTGCTTTTCTAGATTAACTTGACTAATCCAAATCAAAATGAAGACATAAAACTTCCTTCAAATACAAAAGCTGTTAAAGATCTGTATGTCTCCCCTTGTGGGAAACTTGTACTTTTAGCTTCGATGGGTAAAAAATTATCAATTACTAGGTATACTTATTGTCTTTTCTTTTTGTCAAGAAGATATTAGTTTTTCTACACTTTTTTTTGGAGTTTAGCTGACTCAGTTTCTTCTATTGTTTCAGCATGGGCTGCAACAAAGTTGTCATCAGTTATAGTTTCCCGGTAAAAGTTTGTTACTTCTTGTTTACATGTTTGTGGATATATCTTTACTCATGCTCCCTATTTTTTTTCTTCTTCTATATTTTCGACTTGAGCATAGTTCTTTTGTTTTGAAGTTCCAATTCCTATGAAAATAATGAAGCCTTCCAGTTTATTTGATTGTATTTTGCCAAGTGTCATCTTGTCAGTTGAAGTACTGTCTGATGTAGTACCTATTGCATATCAGTATAACTAGGGGACCATATGATACTAGTTCCCAAAAATGATTAGTCCTAGATGACACTGAAATTTAATTGTTACAAATTTGTCCTACCTATGATCAAGTTTGGTAAGACATAAACATGTCTTCACTATAACAACACCCCCCCGGCACTAGTTGTGAATATTATCGAAAAGTAGGCATGCCAAGATCCGTTTTATTTACTTTTTTCATCTCCCACTTCTTATTCTTCAGTGGTTGAAACCTTTTGCCCTCAACTTGTTGGCAACTTTTATGGTTTTGGATTAATCTGGGCTGTGTTTGGAAAAGGTAAAACTAGATCAGCTAAGTGACAATAGCAAAATTTAATGGAAATGATCTAGATCTTAGTTAATGATGTTTAAGAAATTAAGCTTGAAGCTTAAACTTGAGCTCAGTTTGTTCCAATGCAGAATGAGTGGGGACGTGTTTCTAATTTAGTTATGATTAAGTTGTTCTCTCTGTATTTGTCTTGCCTTCTAAACAAGTTCTCTATATTTATGGTTAGTTTTATTTTATTTCGCTTGTTTGATTATCAATCTTTTTTCTATTAAAATTCTTAAGGAAGACAAAATCCTGATTATCAACGTATACAAACCTAAACCTATACAAACCTAAACCTCATAAAACAATCTCCCGGTTGGAAAACTAAGTCCAAAAATGTACTTTTTCACACTTACGCTTGAAAATAGGCCACCGGGAGCCAAAATTATTCAACAGCCATGAGACGGCCCGGGGACCACCTCAAACACGTCGGGAGGGACCGATGTGAGTTGTGAAAACTTACGGAACTAGCACGGGACTCCCGGTTTGAAAACTAAGTCCAAAAATGCACTTTTTCACACTTAAGCTTGAAAATAGGCCTTCGGGGGCCAAAATCGTGCAACAGCCGCGAGACAGCCCAGGAAACACCTCAAACACCTCGAGATGGACCAATGTGAGTTGTGGAAACTTACGGAACTAGCACGGGACTTCCGATTTGAAAACTAAGTCCAAAAATGCATGTTAAATTGTATATGTTATGGATAAGATAATAACTGTCTAGCTAACTCTTTTTTTTTTTTTTTTGTGTTTCATTTTTTTGCAGATTCGAGATTTGATATGGACTTGTTTGGTAATTTGGAGGGCCGATGGTAGCTCATTTTGTGTTTTTGTTCATATTACCTTGTATTTTGATTATGTTGTAAATTTTATATTTTTGTTAGTATTACGGGGCATGTTTGGTAATTCGCCCTTGATATTTTATTTTTGTTGATATTAGTAGACGTTTTTTGTTGGGTATTAGGAGATGTGTTTGGTAATCTGCATACGGTTGATATTATATTTTTGTGGATATCAGTAGACGTTTTTTGTGGATATTAGGTGACATGTTTATAATCCGCATGCAGTTCATATTGTATTTTTGTGGATAGTGCTAAAATTCAATTGTGATGTTTATGAAAATGAATAGATTTTTGTATTGACTTGTAATAGATATTTTATTGAACAGGTTATTGAAGGTTATTGAAATGCGCAGGGAATTGTTACTGAAAAGAAAAAATTTCGGAAGAAAATAGTACTCTCATTTTCAAAATTTTTAATTTTTATTAGTGACGAAATAAAAAATGTCGCTATTAGTCTTCAAAAACCATGACGAATAATTTTGTCACTAATGATATAGTACGAAACAAATAATTTCGTCACATTTGTTGAATATTTCGTCGCTAAATTGAAATATTTGGTGACAAAATATTTTGTCATTAAATAATTTTCTTTTTTGCTCATTTTAGTGACGAATTTTTTTGTCACCTTAATTCATATCATTGGTGAGAAAAACTTTCGTCACTAAAATATATTTGGTGACGAAATATTTCGTCGTAAAAAATAATTAAAATAAAATATTATTTAGTTTTGGTGACGAAATTGGTGTTTTAGAGGACGAAAAATTCAACATTTGGAGACGAAACATTTCGTCGCCAAAAATGAAAAATAGGTGACGAAATTGTTTTTCGTCACCAGGTACTTTTTGTGACGACGTATAGGCCACAAAAGTGGCGACAAATTTTTTTCGTCACAGATCACTTTAGTGACGAAATTTTGATGTTTGGAGACAAAATCAGTCTATCACCAAAGGCTTTTTTTGTTGTAGTGATTTCTTTGTTTTAGTCACAGATCACTTTAGTGACGAAATTTTGATGTTTGGAGACAAAATCAGTCTGTCACCAAAGGCTTTTTTTGTTGTAGTGTATCCTGAAACCTCAGAAATTTAGCTTTTCCGAGCCATCTAAAGTTGCAATCCAAGTCGAGAGTTTTTCAGCAAAGAATGGCTCCATTTGTGGCAAAAATAGTGCTGAATTGAAGAAACCACGAAGTTGGAGCTTTTGTAGAAGATAAGGTGCTGAGTGGAAGACAGGTGGCAGCAATCTGAAGGTTCCCTGCACTAGTGGCCGACCGGCCAGTGTTGGTGGCCAACCGGCCACTTTTGTAGCCGACTGGCCAATACTAGTGGCCGACAGCCACTTTTGATCCCTCTGGTCCATCCATGTGTTGAAAGTACTAAGAACCTATGTCTTATTTTGCTCTTGATGCATTTTGTCGTCTCTCTTTAAGAATTTTGTCAAATTGCTTATCAAGTTGTCAAGTTGCTTATCGAGTTGATGATTTGCTTATCGAGTTGTTGTTTTGATTATCGAGTTGTTGCATTAGTTGTTCATTCAGTTGTTTTACTCTGTTCATTATGTGTTGGTTGGTTCATTACCTGATTAAGGAATTGCCAATACAATACAATGTTTAATTTTTCCATCAAATCGTATTTTCGTGTAAAATGGTGCAATGTGATGCTCAGAATGTAAAAACATAACACTTTTTTTTTATCGAAAAGCTGATTTTTCATTCCAATCATGGTTTCTTTTTACAAAAGGAGTACAAGTTTTTAAGAAAATAAAAACTACCTGGAAACTATGCAATGTCCTAACACTACTAGCAAAAAGAAAACTAAGCAAAAACATCTGAATCAGCGCCAACCACCTCAGGATCAAGAGGCCCTCTTTGTCCTCTTCCTCAACAAAACGGACTCAGAGCTATCACCATCAGTGCCAATATAAGAGGCCCCCGTGTCGGAGCTAACTGCTGAACTGGCCTCAGCATCATCTCTCCTCAGCATCGCCACCGCCCTCAGAACCTAAGCCGGTGTCGTCGCCCCCATCCTCAGATGACTCTAACTAGGGGCTCTTTGGCTTCTCGTCCTCATTTGTCTCATCATCAGTTGGGATAGGCTCTGATGGGCCGCTCTCGTCACGAGTACGTCTAGCTCTACCTCGGCTATGCATCGGAGCCCCTCGTCTCTCTCTCGCTGCTGTCGGATAAGGCACCGATGGTCTTGTTGTAACTCTTACTGGAGCGCCAAGTGCAGCTGGGATCTGAAAAAGACAGTTTTTCAAATACATCAGTTGTGGTATATATCAAATGCAAAGATGAAATGCAGTATGCAGTGTTTGGGTGCAGTGTGTCAGAGCAATGCAAGATAGAACAGATTATATTTGAAATGCTGATGTATCGGCAGGGAGCTTGATGGCATGAAATGTAAGCTGAAGAAACTTACTGGAATGCCGTAGATGTTGAGTAGGTTCATGCTCGTCTGAACCATCCCCATCAGAGAAGCCACTAGCTCGAGAGCCTAGCTGGTGTACTGTATGGATGCCTATAAATGTGTTGAGATGATCAGCGGTCTATAAAGCATAACTGAAATGAATTGAATGTGCAAAATGTAAAGTATGGTACATACCAGGGTCGGGCCTCGAACTCCGACAAGCTCGTGACCAGTTGGTGCAGGCTCAATGGGAATCTGGTAAGCCTTTCTTGTGGGTCGCCAGCAAGTCAGTGTAGTAGGCAGCTCTAGCCATCCCGCCCTCTGCCTCGTCTGAGAACCTCTACTGTCATGAGCCCTAGTCGCCCTAGACCCTCCGTCTCTCTCTCCCACAGCTGGAGCTCTAGCTCTCTCACCCCCACGGGTGCCAGTCAGAGGTGGCATGAGGTATGTCTGGATGAAGGCAACGTAATCGTTTTCAAGTCTGAAGAAGTCGGCGTCCCAACCTCTGGTGAAATTGATCATCTCCTACGTGGTGTATCTCTCTGTGATCCTCATATATGTAGGAGGTGGCATCGAAACTACTGGCTCGGGCAAGCCGAGGCTCTGGTGCAGGAATCGCTCCCCTAAGAACAACGCTCGACAAATCGGCCCTCGAGCAAGATCTGGAATCGGGAAGCCTCCCGAGCGCCAACAAACTAATCTCTGACCCTGTCAGGCATCACTACCTAGGGCTGCTAGGTGATTTACAAATAGTGAATATACATATTGTTTGCTGCCATTAGATATGCAATATGAAGTAGAGCTGAAATAACTGTAAGGTTTGAGTTACCTCTACTGCGGTCACGATATCAAAGAATCGACGAAAAAATGAGAAGGATTCCCAGGGCCTCCGCTCGCATCTCCTGTCGTACCTGTGGAAATATGGCACAACAGGTGGCATCTCCACCTCTGGCTTTGGGGCAAGGCTCAAAAAATAGGCACACACCCATAGCTGCAGAAGGCGGAAGGGCAATAGTGAGTATACCACAGATGAAGCAGAAGGCAGATTGTGTGTAGTGTAGTGTACAGTGTGTGTAGTGTACAAATAATGTAAAACAGAAAGTAGATTGTGTGTAGTGTAGTGTACAATGTGTGCAGTGTACAGATAATGTAAAGCAGAAGACAGATTGTGCGTAGTGCAGTGTACAGTGTGTGCAGTGTACAGATAATGTAAAGTGGAAGGCAGATTGTGTGTAGTGCAGTGTACAGTGTGTGTAGTGTACAGAGAACGTAAAGCAGAAAGCATATTATGTGTAGTGCAGTGTATGGTGTGTGTAGTGTACAGAAAATGCGAAGTAGAAGACGTAACGGGAAATGCAAAAAAGAAGGGTAGGACATACCTCCTAGGGCCTCTAGTAGCCTCCTAGCAGATGCCCGCTCCGGCAGGAGGTGGAGCTCATATACCCGTATAGTGTGGCCAAGCCTGCGCCGCCCCAGTTGTAGAGCAGGACACGAGACAGGTCTATCAAGGCGCTCATCAGGTAAAGCCCAATGGTGTTCGCCTAGTTGGCGAACAGAGTAGTGCCAAACAGGAACATCAAGAAACCTCAGGCATAGTGCTCGGTCTCCTTGTGGGTCCTCGGTGCCGTCCCTCTGAAGTGATAAGCGAACCATGTATATCAAACCATCCCTGATCGAGAGATGGGTGGGCGGATCCCCAGCAGGCAATCTAAGTAGCCTCCCACTCGTCTATGTCTGTGTCGTAAGGAATCAGATAACCCCCTACCGCTATGCCAGTGAGCATAGAGAAGTTAAAGGGAGTCATCGTCATCTCCCCTGTGGTAAAGAAGTGAAAGGAATCGGTGGTATCCCACCACCTCTCTACCAAAGCGCCTAGTAGAGGCCGGCTCGCTATGAGACGTGAAAGCCCCTTGCAAAATGTGCCGAAGCCGGCCTCGTCAATGATATGGCGAACAGCGTTGGGAAGCTCCATATACCACTCCCTAGCAAAGGTGGTCCCGTATCCTCGAATGGCCATGAATCCCCCTGTGATCAGGACAAGCAAATACAGGGCAGTGTAAGAAATACAGTGCAAGAATGTGTTTGGTATGAACAGATGAAAGACAGTGAGATCTATGCAAGAAATATGAATTACATTGCGAAAAATGAGGGTATAGTGTATACCTCGGAGGAGCCATGAGATAAGTGTGACTCCGGCTCACATAGTAAAAAGTCCTCGGGAGCGCCTCGTGCAAACCCCCTGAACTGACAGATGCTATCGGGAGGCAGCATATGTATCTTAGGACGATACATCGCCAGGTCGAAAGGTCGAGTGCTGAACTGCAATGGCTCGAACTCTGGATCATCCATCACCATCTCCGGAGGAGCTCCTTCGTGTGGGATGTCGTCCGCCATCTCAGGGGAAGATGAGAAAACGGTCGAAAATGGAAAAAATGGGCGAAGAATGCCAAAAGTCAACAAAAGTCAACTTTGAGAGAGGAAAAATGGAAGAAAAGGTCAAAGCTCGAAAAAGGGCACCGAGCTCAAGGGTAACACGAGGGAAACAAACCCTGAGTGACGAAAATCAAGAAGGAAGCACTGAAGTCACTTTTTAATCGGTTCAAAATGGAGTGTGCAAAGAGGTTTTAGCTAATCGAAAGATCGTGGGGTGTTTGAAAACGCATATAAAGCGTGGATCAGAAGGAGAAAAGTGTCTAAAGAGGGAAGGGAGTGATTTTCGGCAATGGACAAGTGA